ACTTGCACAGCCCTAATACAACCTCTTTCTTATTCTCTGAAAATACCATTTTATACCTTCACTCTCAGCTTCTGAAACTGCTTTATACATCATTGGGAAATTAAAAGCAATCATATAGGACTTCCTCATTTTCTACTACCAATTTACCATACATCTTCACGTAGCTTTTCGTTTTTGAAAGTGCCTATAAGAGGTGAAACCCTCCACTAATGCTCTTCATATCTAATTCTCTTAATAGCCAAAGAAATTGGTCTTGCAATACCTGATTCTCCTCTACATCATTTCTCTGTTGGAATATAACTATAGGTCACATACATGCTCTAGTATCTTTGATCTTAGGGAAGTCTTCCCTTGAAATTACATTTCCCTTACAAGTCCCCCAATTCTCAGAGCAAATCATCTTGAAAGATGTGTACCTACCCAAAGTTTCCACATCCTTTTCTACCATCCATTGCTCATACCACTGTAATCAGGCTTCTCTCCCCTCAGTCCCACATTACTGCAGTTGTAATTGTCAAAGTCAGCAATGATGTTCCTATACGAAACTCAGTATCTCTTCTTTATTTTCATCCTACTCACACATTCAGCCACATTTGACACCATTGGATCATTCTCTTCTTTTGGTAGCATCATCTTTTACTCTCAGGCCACTACAACCAATAGGTTTTCTAAGTACTCCCCTGGACTCAGTCTTTACTTGGCCAACTGTTCCTCTTCAACATGACATCTAAATATTGAAGCAGCCTGTGGCTCCATTGCAAGCTTCATTTTCTTCTCATTGAATACTCTCTGGCAATTTCATCATCCCATAGGTTTAAGTGCATTTCAACTCCCAAGGGCATGACTTCCTCTGAAGCACAAACTCATTTCGTAAATCTGTATAATTTACATGTCTCAAAAACATTTTAAGAAATTTTGTAAGAACATTTTCAATGTTCCTAACTAGACAGCACTTAATTATGACAATGTTTTCAGTCTCTAACTCAAAGCATGTATGCATGTATGTGTTTTCTTAGACGATTTTCTGTTTTGAATTGTACCTCCTTCTTTATGTGCATAAGTAATCCTGTTTCCTTTACAAAACTCTCCTTTTTTTTGTTGCATATTAACTGGGAAGACTTGAAATGTAAGGCCTCAGGCAATATTTCATTCATTTTGAGTTAGAATTTTAAAAAAAGCCTATAGTTCACAGCTTAAAAGAATGCAAAATGGAAATAAAATTGGGAATGCAAAATAGTTTAGTCCATACAAAAAAGTTTGTCAATATTTTGTAAACCTAAACATACACTTACCACATAACCAATCGGTTTTACTCTGAGATCTTTTCCCAAGTCAACAGACAATTTATGTTCATGTCAAAACCTGTACATAAATGTTTATACTGTAATGGCTTTTTTATAATCAACAAAATAGGAAAAAACAGAAATGTCCTTCAACTGGTGAACGGATGAACAAACGATGATACATCCACACAGTTGGATACTATTCAGAACTAAATGGGAAAGGACTGCTAGTAGATAAAAGAATATGGATAAATCTGAAACATATTATTCTAAGTGAATGAAGTTAGACTCAAAATGTATGATGTCATTTATATGACAAAATAATAGTGACAGTAAACAGATCAGACAGTTGGCAGGAGCCAGGGGGGAAGGAATACAAACAGGCACCTGAAAATTTCTGTGGCTGATGAAAGTTGTATGTCTTGAATTTGGTGGTGGTCTCATGACTATATACATTTGTCAAAACTTGCTAAATTGTATACTAAAAAAGGTCAATTTTACCGTATGTAGATTGTACTTTAATTAATAGTGAAAACAGAAATTTATAGTGTTAAATAAATGAGTATGAAGCTTCTAATATTTCTGCTTCTACAGACTTCAAGTACCCATAGGAAAATTGCACTCATGTTATTATTTTTGTGAAGAGTTTTGGTTTGACTCTTTTAAAAATATAAACATATTTTGTTTTTCAAGAATTAAACTTGACAATTCACTTATTGAATCAACTTCTAAGTTCACTGTTTCTTCTTGTATACATTTCCTAGGCACCACTTTTCTCCTTGCCGAAATTATTTTATTGAGTCTGAGGATAAATACTTTCAATGCCATTTTTAATTAGACCTAATTCATTAATGATGGCTCAGCTGTGCCTGGAATTCTAGGTGTGCAGTTATACTTCTTCAGCACTTTTGAATATATTTCTTCCTTGTCCTATTGCTGCTATTGATAGTCCACTATTATCTAGTTGTCTTTACTTAGTGGCTAATCTGTCTTTTATTTCTGGGAGAATATAAAATGTTTTTTTATATAGGGTATCAATATCAATTGATATTGATACCCTATAAGTTCAGTACTCTATAAATTCCTTTTTGTTTTCCTTTCTAGAACTTGGAAAATTGTCCATTTACTCTTTAAGCATCACTGGTGGCAGAACACAGTAACATCAAGACACATAAGCCATACTGAATTGCCAAAGGTCAATGAAGGGTAGACCTCGCATTTAGACTCCTCAGGGAGCAGTCACATTGAATAGGAAATAGTCCAGGGTAAAAGGACCATAAAGAAGGAAGCAGCATGCCACATAAGTAAGGAAATCAACCTTATATTCTGGGACAGAGTGCTGGCCACACAAGGAGGCTTTATGTCCTGCTCTATTTAGTTAATTTAGAAATGAGCCATCAGTGCTTTGCTTGTGGAATAGAAACATAGAGCCTTGGAGCTTATTTAGTGAAAGAAGAATACAGGAATTCCAGGCCAGGAAACACGCCCACGAGGATTAATTATCATCCTGGTCCTGGGCCAGCATTGCCAGGGAGGCCATTTGAGCTGAGATGATAAGTCCCTTGGAACATAAGGGTAAAATAGAGGGAAAAGATTACGGGTCAGAAGACAGGGCACACTCTCTCAGGACAAGGCTCTGGCTCACCTTTGGCTCCAGGGAGAGTGAGGCAGGGGAAAACAGAATCTTCTTTGGGCAGCTCTTTCAATATCAACTCAGTATCTACTTCCTCCAGGACCCTGCAGCCTTTATCTTTGCTCCCTGACCCCGGCAAGAATTAAGGAAAGTCTGAGTATCTGAACCCAAGAAGTCAGTCTGGTAACTGCTCTAGGGCTAGAGGGGTCTCTCCCTGGGAACCTGTATGAAAGTAGTAGTTTCTACTAATTCTTCACAGGTAGGAAAACAGGAAAGTAATCTTCTTCCTGTATAGGAAACTACCCAAATTCTGTATTAGCTGTCTTTCTGCATCCACTTCCATCTCCAGGGAAGACCTGCAGATAACTGGAAGGAATAGAAGGGCCCTAATGTCTAATCTCACTAGGACTTTTCAGACACTTAACCCAGCTTGGCAAAAATTAAACCAACTGAATACTGCTGAACAAAGCCACGTCCTTTCTTCCCATTTTGACTGGAACATCCTTGACCTTCAAACAATCCCTAGGAAAGTCTGAGTGGTCAGACGGCTCAGCTTCTCACCACCTGAGGTAAGGATTTTGTATCTCTTTCAGGGAAAGGTGTGCTTCTAGGCAAGTCATGTAGGAAAAACGGAGTCCAAAGCATATCCTGAGAACTTAAACTACTCTGTCTGCCAGATTTCCTAGTATAATATTTGGGCTTCATAGCTTGTTCCAATTTGTGTATTCTTAATTTTCCAAACCTGAAAAGAGAACCAATAAGGACTGTGCTACAGCCCAGGCATGGGTATCTGCTTCCTGGTGGAAATTGCAATACTTGTCTTTAGACCCTATGTGCTCTGCTTCCTTTTAGTAATGCATTTTTGCATCTATGAGATGATGAATATCCCTCAAAGGGCCATCTAAAACATGATGATGTGCCCATTACATGTTCTCATACATTTTAACCATTAAGGTACTAATGGCCCCATAAAAGGTCAGTGGAAACCAGTGAAATATTAAAACACAGATGCCATAATATGGAGAGATGATTTATAGAAGGGCGCTTCATTTCAAAATCTTTAACTGCATGCTCAGAGTTGGCTTTATCGGTCCAGTTTCATGATGCACACAGACTCCTATCAGTCTTAGGCCCTTTTCCTCCTTGGCTTCTCCATGGCATTGGGTACCACAATGCCAAGAGCTGCTTTCCAGAAAAGGAGTTCGTCTCTATCACTGTGATCCTTCCATCAAGTTTAGATGTTCTAGCCCTGCAGAAGGGAGAGTGAACAACTGGTCAAAGGCAGGAGAGAGGATAAAATTATTGAGCATGATTACACATAAAATAGATGCTCTTTTGTTCCCTTTCACCATTTCTCCCAAACACAAATATCCTACTCTTCCTAGGAAGGACCTCATATATTATGTTTCTGAGCCCTTCCAAGCTAACCTATTTTAAATAAACATGTTTGCATTGATCCTAAAGTATTTAGCTCTAAACGCAACACCTCCTCAAACACAACATATTCTTGTCTCAGACAGTCCATCATCCCTTCTCTCTCAAGCTTCTGTAGGGCTGGCTAAGAGAGGTAATTGAGGTGGACAAGTTTTAGTCTACTAATGAGGCTTTCATCTACTGCCTTTAGTACTGCAAACAAATGTGGCTCTTAGCTCTATGGAGAAGGAGGGGAAGTGCTTTATTGAAATCCAATCTCTGTATGTTTGGAATTTCATATCAAAACAGGTCTATGAAGAAAACTAACTGAATAGGTCCAAGGATAATCTAGGGTGTGTGTGGCAGAATATTTCTTTAATCTTAAGATAAGGATAATTTTTCTGGAAAGACACATGTTCAGGTTTAATGTCTTAAATAAGATTTTATGTATCTCTTAATGTTTAGTTATTACTGTGATGTCTGTTCTCCATTTAGATGGATCTTTTATTAAAATACTACAAAAAAAGTCAGACATTCAGAAATCAAGAGGAAAAGCCAATTATCAGTGGAAGGGGTATTATCTCAGTGGATTCATGTCCTACAGAGCCCCTGATGTTACAAAACTAGAGTTTATCTTAGCAAAAATTCATGGAGTATCCATCTTGTTCTAGGTAATGAAAGAAGCCACAGCATGGAGCTCTGGAACTCCACCTTGGGAAGTGCCTTCAGCTTGGTGGGAATTTTGAATGACAGTGGATCTCCTGAAGTGGTCTGTGCTACAATTACTGTCCTGTACATGTTGGCCTTGACCAGCAATGGCCTGCTGCTCCTGGTCATCACCGTAGAAGTGCAGCTCCACGTGCCCATGTACCTACTGCTTGGGCAGCTCTCTCTCATGGACCTCCTGTTCACATCTGTTGTCACTCCCAAGGCCCTTGCAGACTTTCTGCGCAGAGAAAACACCATCTCCTTTGGAGGCTGTGCCCTTCAGATGTTCCTGGCACTGACAATGGGTGGTGCTGAAGACCTCCTACTGGCCTTTATGGCCTATGACAGGTATGTGGCCATTTGCCATCCTCTGAAATACATGACCCTCATGAGCCCAAGAGTCTGCTGGCTCATGGTGGCCACATCCTGGATCCTGGCATCCCTAAGTGCCCTAGTATATACCGTGTATACCATGCACTATCCCTTCTGCAGGGCCCAGAAGATCAGGCATCTGCTCTGTGAGATCCCACCCTTGCTGAAGTTGGCCTGTGCTGATACCTCCAGATATGAGCTCATGGTATATGTGATGGGTATGACTTTCCTGATTCCCTCTCTTGCTGCTATACTGGCCTCCTACACACTAATCTTATTCACTGCGCTCCGTATGCCATCAAATGAGGGGAGAAAGAAAGCCCTTGTCACCTGCTCTTCCCACCTGACTGTGGTTGGAATGTTCTATGGAGCTGCCACATTCATGTATGTCTTGCCCAGTTCCTTCCACAGTCCCAAACAAGACAACATCATATCTGTTTTCTACACAATTGTCACTCCAGCCTTGAATCCCCTCATCTACAGCCTGAGAAATAAGGAAGTCATGGGGGCCTTGAGGAGGGTCCTGGGAAAATACGTGCTGCTGGCACAATCCACGCTCTAGGGAGATCTCCTGGCTACCTCCCAAAATTCTTTCTCCTCAAAGTCAGAAAATTCATGTTATGAATCAAATACTAATGGTAAATTAATACAGTTCAGAGTGTAGCATTTAATAGAAAAGTGAAGGAATGTAACTGGATTTGTCAAATGCTCTTTCAATCTTCTCTCCATGAAGTAATTTATAGGGCATGATTTATATTATCTAAAATTACTCTTCACTCGATATAAAATTACTCTTTATTTTTCCAGGAAGGTACTTAGTTAAATGGGTCCCACCTTGGGACATGACCTCTAACCTTGGAAGTTTATATTGGATCAGAGAAAGGAAAAGAACCAGAGAAAGGAAAGTTTCAAGTGGGTGGCCTAAGCAAAACCCAAACATCAAAGGGGGAGATGTCTTGAGATTTGCACAAATTTAGAGCAACTGATCTTATTAAAAGATTATATAGACTTCTTGTCAAATGTCCCAACTGGTAATAGTTTGCTTGTATTTGCATTGTACTAACTCTTTTTTTCTTTTTCTAAACATCAGCCACATGAAACACCCCAACAGGTGTCTTTGCTTGTTTGTTTTTGTTTATTGGTTTTTGACATGGAGATATTTTATAGTTCCTAAAATTCAATTATTAATGAAATGGAGAAAACAGAGGCGAAGGCGGTCTATAAGCAAAGTTTATGATAAATAACTCTGCTTATTTTTTGCTAAAAAAAAAACAAGCAAAATAGTGATTTTTCCATTATCCAAGGTTATCTTGAAACATTCCAACAATTGCAGCGGTCACATGTGTGGTGGGTGTGGATATATGAGTCAGTGTGTCTGTGTCTGTGTGTTTGTGCTCAAGAAGGAGAGGACAACATACTGCATTTTCTCACCAGCTTAATTATGCTGCACTACTATTAGTTTGTAAGTCTAAGAATACTGAAAACAAAAGGCGTCAACAAAAGCTGTGAGTTGCATTTTGAACCTTAAAAACAATTTAAAATAATATGGCTAATTAAATTACACTCTTTTGGAGGATATTGCTGTCTGTAGATAGCTAACACTTTTTAAGTCAATTCTGTAGTAACTTAAAACAATAACTGACACTAGGTTCAGAAAGTATAGTGGTATATCATGTTTGGAAGGCAGGCCGAGTAGAGATAGTTTCTACACATATTTATATGAATTTCCTTCCATTTTAATACAGGCATGCAATTTACTGATTTGATATGTGTGTGTAAAACAGATTTTTAAAACCTACTAGCATATGGTTATTTTTCCCTATAGTATATACAGCTAGTGCTCGACTTAACGACCACGGTCGGGACCGCGGACCGGTTGTAACACGATTTGGTCGTAAGTTGAGTAGGCTATATGTACAGTTGAAATGGTGCACACGGAGATGGTAGTGCTGCCGGAAGCTGGTCCGCACTGTCGTACGCCCAGCTGGGCAACGTTTGCGCTGCCAGATGCGGAGCAGTCGTGGCTAGCGATTGTGGTCGTAAAGTCGAATGGTCGTAAGTTGCATAGGTGGTAAGTCGATCAATACCTGTAATGGCAGTATACAGCACTGCAAAGAGTCTAGGGTCTATTATCAGCGTCCAGAGTTAGAATTCAATACACCCCACTTAGTTCTATAACTTTGAGCGTATTACTTAACTTGTTTGTGCCCAAGTCTGCAAGTTTACAAGTCTGCAAAGTGTAAACTGACATTAACAATAAGACTTACTTTGTACTGTTGTGAGAATTAAACAAGTTAGTAAATATAAATATAAGGCATCTTTCTATTTGTAATCAGCATGTGTCATATAATAAGTATTTAATAAGTTTAACACCTACAGAATAAATGGCCCTGAAAATACTGTGGAGTGATAGTATAACATTACATCATATGGGTGTTTTGTACCATTATTAGCTATCATGGTTTTACCTTTAACATTGCCGTCTGTGTGTGTTTGAAATCAGTAATGTCAATCTCTTGGATGTAGGACTTTTTTTTCTATAGAAAATTCCTATGAATGAAATTACTGAAACTAGGGTTAAAAATCTACTTAGTACCCTTGATATGAAAAGACAAATTGGTTTTTAAAAAATATTAAATATTTTGCATTCTTAACAGCAACATATAAGTGTCCTTAACCCACTACATCTTTTTTCATGTTAAATTTTACATATAAATAGTCTTCACTAATTGATAAGGTATAATATTTGTTTATTTTAGTTTGCTTAAGTAACCTGTTCACATTTTTCTTATCAGTTTGTTGAAGTTCTTTACAGGTTAGGAACACAGAGACTTTGTTATATTTGCGGTAATAACTTCTTTTGAATTTGTTATTTGGCTTCCAATATCTTCACAGTAGATATTTTTAGACAGAGAAATATTTAAAATATTTGCATAGTGAAAGATATATTTTATGTTTTTTTTCCAGTGATTTTTCACTCTTAGGATATAATTTTCTATTCTCATTGACGTCTTTGATGTCTGTTACACAGTCCAATTTAGGTAACAATTTATATACTGTACATATTTTGTCATTTTATAATTTGTTTAACTTTAAAAATAAATGTCTGATTTATCTTTTCATGTGAAAATGATATTTTAACTTTCATCAAAGCTACCATTTTTCCAGTAATAATATTTTAAAGCAATCCTTCAGTTTTTTTTTTTTTTTTTTTTTTTTTGAGAGCAACATGGCTGTTTATTCACCTGGGTGGCAGGTGGGCTAAGGCTGAAAAGGGCATTAGCAAAAGGGCAGTGGGTTAGGAGTTGGTTTTATAGGTTTGAGTGTTTTTTTGGAGGATGGGGGTGTTACAGAGTAAGTTCAGTTACAATGGTGGGGGGCAAGGAGTATACAAGTTCAGTTCCAATGGCAGGGTTGGGTGAGAGGTATTTACATTATCATAAGAACAGTTAAGATGGCAGGGTTGGCTGAGGGGCTTGTGGGAAGCTCTGCTGGGCGATTAGGGACAATGGCTAACTCAGGCAGGGGGTGGAAGACTTCAGCCGAGGCAAGCAGGACTTCAGACTTTCAGGCTCCAGACTTGCATATGGAGACCTGATATACCTATCTTTTTATATATAGAGAGAAAGAATTAGAGAAGAGGGGGTGATAACAGGTTTTAGGGGATGAGGGCGAAGTTTCTCAAGGCTTCTTCCAGCAGGATTGGGGGCAGGGCGGAAACCTAAAAATGGGAAAGAATTTAAACTGCTGGGAGATTTTGGGGAAAGGGGTAATATTGTGGGGTTGTTAGAAGGAGCTTTTGTCATATTGACTGGTTATTGCTTGTATACGATTTTATAGGAATTGAGAGATTAATTGGAAAAACACAGGGCTTAAATAAGAGAAGAAGGAGTATTAGAGAAGGTTAAGTGTGTGGAGGGAGAGCTTTTGTTTTTATGGTGTGTGAGGAAGCTCGTGGTATTTATATGTAACCACTCACTTTTATTAACAATATTGGGTTTGAGCAGAGAGCGGGAGCCAGATTAAGAGTGAAATATTAGCTGTAATTACCTGGAGGAAAAGTGTAAACCGGCAACTTAAACAAAAGCAGGGCATGTAAAAGTAAATGAGTACAGTGAATTTGAGCACAGTTAGCAAATAATAGAAACAGACTTTTTGAGGTGTGGTTTAAGTAGCAGGGGCGACTGCATAAAGGTGGAGAAGGCGAGGGGCTGAAAGTGTGTGAGGTGTGAAGAGAAAACTTCGGAGGTTGTGAGAGCTAGATGTTAACTGGGGCACAGCCTGTGATTCTAAGGAATTTTAAGAGTATTAGGGTGGCAGCTGCTGCTTGCTGCGTGTTGTCTTGAGGGCCAGCCCAGGACTGTTAGGTTAAATTGTTTGGATAAAAAGGCCACAGGCCATGGGCCTGGCTCCTGTGTGAGAATTCCCACTGCACAGCCCTAGATTGTAGCAGTATATAATGAAAAAGTGTTGAGACAGGCTGGGGAGAGCTAGTGAGGGAGCAGGTTTTAGAGCTTTTTTTTTTTTTAAGTCGCGCAATGAGGAGTGAGGAAAGGATTTAGGATTAATAGGTTAGATAAGTTTTCTTTAGTGAGTTTATACAATGGCTTAGTTAGAATAGCAAAACCTGGTATCCACAGGTGAAAGTAGCAACCACACCCAGGAAGGAGAGAAGCTGTTGTTTGGTGGATGGGGTTGGGGTTTGGGAAATTAACTGGATACAGTTGGCAGGAAGGGCGTGTGTATGCTGGCGAAAGATTATAACAGATGGGGAAGAAATTTGGGCTTTGGAAGGGGCTGCACAATACCCCTTTGAGTATAGATGCTGCAGAAGCAGGAGGGTGAATTAAAAGTCCATGTTGCAATACAGGGTGATAACAGGTTTTACATTTAAAGGCTGTTGTGGGATGGGGTGCTGGGGCTGCGCAGGGTAAGGGTGGTTAGGTTTTAAGGGGATGATGAGGGGTGAGTGACTTGTAGCAACGGATAGGAAGGCGGTGTTTTACACCCTAGGGTTAAGGTTCGGGAACATAAGGGGAGATATTGAGGGAGGTATGGGTTTGGGGAGGAGGGCAGCAATGAGGTGTGAATGTAGCCCAGGAATAGTTAAGGAGGCGGACAATTTTGCTCGGATATCTAGGCCTAACAGGGGAACTCAACAAGTGAGGATGATTAGGAAAGAATGTGGAAAGGAGTGCTGGCCTAATTGACACCAGACCTGGGGAGTTTTGAGAGGCCTGGAGGCCTTGCCATTAATTCCCACAACAGTTACGGAGACAGGTCCTTGAAAAGAAGGCAGTGTGGGGTGGGAGGCCCCCGTGTTAAGAAGGGGATGGACTTACCCTCCACCGTAAGTGAAGTTTCGCATCCATGATGGTCCAGGGGGCTTCCAAGATGCTGGGGCAGCGTTAGTGTTTAGCCGCCAAGCCGAGGATTGGAGCTTCAGGAGCTCTGGGAGCAGCAACGTAAGTCAGACAGTCGACTTTCTGTGGGGGCCCCCCGCACAGACGGGGCAGGGCTTAGGAGAAATCCCGGGCTGCAGGCATTTCTTGGCCCAGTGGCCAGATTTCCGACACTTGAAGCAAGGTCCAGGAGGGGTGGCTGGTCACGCTGCAGTCTGGGCGCTTTGAAATCTTTGTGAGCCAGTGGAGAAGCTGGGGTTCGTCTTACGGAAGACAAAAAATCTGCCGCCGGGCAGATTTTTCGCTATTATTGAACACCTTGAAGGTGAGGTTGCTTAATTCCTGTTGTGGGGTTTGAGGGCCAGATTTTAATTTTTGTACCTTTTTGTAATGTTGGGGTTGACTGGGTGATAAAATGCATTATTAAGCGTTTTTTAGGGGTGAGAGTAGAAGTAAGGATGACATTTAAGTCCCTCCAGGTGAGGTTACAGGACTGGGTTAAGTATTGGAGGATTTGATGAAAAGGAGCCTAACTGGTGGCCAATTTGGAAAGGCTGGATAAAGGAAAAGAAACGTGCACCCTAAATATGCCTTTGGCTCCAGCCACCTCTGGAAGGGGGAATTGTTGGGGAGGGGCAGAGAAGGTAGCCGCAGGACTAAACTGTAAGCTGGGAGTTGAGATTAGGGAGGGATTGATGTGTAAAAAAATGCCTGGACATAGGGAATTTCAGACCATTTGCCCGTGTTGCGATAAAAATTGTTTAAATTTTGTAAAATAGAGAGGTTGGAAGTGCCATTTTTTGGCCATTGGAGCCATTGTTTAACTTGTACTGTGGCCATGCAGTGTTGCAGAAGATGAGACGTTTGGGTTTTAGGTTAGGAGACAGTGAAGAGGCTTGAGGTTTTTTAGAACACAGGCCAATGGAGAGGTGGGAGGAATAGAAGATGGACGATAGCCCATGGTTCTGGAAAGGCAGCAGAGACAAGGAAAATGGGCACGCAACCTAGCCGCTCAAAATGCGTCCCTAATTGAGCCTGGGTTGAACCTCGTCATTGGTGGGTGGTCAAAGACAGCGTCCTCTATGTTGACCTGCCACCAATATTGGCCATGAGCCTCGTGGGCGAGTGGCTAGGGTGAACGTCTCCACGATAGTATAACCCCTGGGGAAACTGGGTCCTCAGATCCGTGACCTGTGTCGGATTTTCTGGTCATGAACCTCACAGAAGAGCCTAGTTTACCTGATTTTCCTTGTTTTTGTGGTGGAAAAAGGATGAAACTGAAAGGGGGAGGGAGTAGAAAGGAAAAGACAAAAGGATGGGAAAGCAAAAAAGAGAGACTGCTTACCAAAATAGCCAGTGGTGTGCATCTGTGGGCTGGTCTGATGACCCCAGGTCGGTAGGTAGATTTCTTCATGGAGGGAGC